TCCTGAAAAATGCGTGTACGCCTTCCAAGACGAATGCAAGGCAATGTCCAGGCTCAAGTAAGCTTGAACGGTCACCTAATTGTTTTGACTGAGAGGGACGTGGATTTGTACGTTGAGTCATTACACTATAATGTTAGCTATCTATCTAATTCAGTCATTTATATGATGTAACCTCAATACTTAGATGTTACAAGTATTTCCAAGATTATAAACCTTCCTGGAGCTGAGCCACAAACATGCTCTGTTTACTAGCAGCGGCGGAAGCCTTTCTGCTCTTGACTAGTATGCCATTGCCATACAAACAAAATCGGACGAATGATGAATGTAAACAATACGTGGGTCCAGTATATGAGGGATGCATGGTGAATGTGTTGTTGTATGAGAATGACTTTTTCTTAGAAATTTCTTTCCAATACTAGGGTGCGTCTTCCAAAGCGCAGCGTCTGGTAAACCAGAAAATACGGTAATGAGTTCTGAAAAGAAAAAAAACATAAGAAAAATAAAATATTTTTTAAATAAGATCTCTTTGCATATTTACCAGTAACTTTAAACACAACTTACGTACATATATATATATATATATATATATATATATATATATATATATATATATATATATATAAGTGAATATTGAAGTCAATACTGAGAGGCGACAGGCTGTTTCATGCTGGACGCAATCGTCAGGCCACCTGACGCCCTGACTAATTGCGTCTAGCTAAAACATGAAATCAAAATGATCTTCAATGTTCACTTTTATATTACCAACGTTCTATCTCTATATTGGCACTTTATCCCATAAATATAAACACCTTTTAATATTTCTTCATATATATATATATATATATATATATATATATGAGTCAGGTAATGTATTGTGGGTGTATTTTAAATATAAAAAGGACACTGATAAAAACACACCAACGAAAGCATCCCAGTACCCGATTTCTTGCCATGTTCGCTGTAGGATGACCCCATCAATGATGGTACTGGCATTAGTGATCGTTTTGTTTTAGATCAGTGATGTCCCGTATTTTTTATTTGATACACGATATCTTGAACATAACACCATAGATAGACGTCCGAGAGGGTGATATCTGTTGAACGAGGTGTCCAGAAAATTGGGCCATCCCCTCTAATCCGCCGGTCTGGGAATGTTAGGGGTTCATATAACAGTATCTCTTTCATCAACACAATACCTGAAATACTCAAATGCGATGTGATTAAATACTTTGATAACTACTGCGTACATAGAACAAATCTGATTAAGATTGTGCATCAATTGCTTTTGTAATATATAATATCACGGTTTGAGAAATCAAAGAGCCGAAAAAATTCCAGTCGAATCCATTACATTCTTATGTCCAAATACCCTTGGGAAAGTTGTGAATCCTCTTCAAGAATAGAATCCAGGTAAGAACTCAATGTGTGGGACAGATTTAAGGATATAATAAAAGGCTTAAACACTATATATGATGAAAGCGGAACTTTAGAAATCCATGCTAATAAATTAAGCTCTCTTTGAATTTATATCCTTTTGGAATTATCCTACTAAATAATATATATATATATATATATATATATATATATATATATATATATATATATATATATAAGTTTCATTAAGAAAGACGTGCTGCAGTCAAGTTTTTAATTTACTTTTCTTGTGTCCTTATAATTTTCATCTTATCTGGCCATAAAGTATGTAGAAATTGTACGAATATTCCGTATGTCTAGCGTTTTATGATATACACAATTATATATATATATATATATATATATATATATATATAGATAAAAAAAAAGAGAATCAATGCAATTAAAAGTTTTGCCATTACGCTGCATGATATTACCTTCATCATCTCGACTCCAGAGTTTAACTCCGTCTACTCATCAGGAGTTATCACAAATTGACTGCTTATACAACCTCGATATTCTTTTTTCATAATAACTTTTCATTGGTGCATGTTTTTTAATTGTGTATGTGTGCGTTCCTGTGCACTCGTTCACCCCTGCGCACTCGTTCACCCCTGCGCTCGTCTTCGCGTATATGTGTGTGTATGTATATGTGTGTGTATGTGTATGTGTGTGTATAGAATATATGTTTGCTGTTATATTATTTTAAATTAACAATGGTTGCAATTATTTTATATGCTTTTTCGTATTATTTTTTTTTTAATTTTTGTTAATTGAAATGGCGGTTTATTATTTTACAAGCACAAAATTCAAAACGAATCGTAAAATTCGTTCTCTTTGCCTCGGTTTACTAACTAGCATTTTTCTTTCTCCCATGTGAGTTGATTTTCATCAGAGATTCCTTTCGTACAAGTCTAAAGACTCTAAATACGTCTTCCTTGCCACGGGTTTAGCGACGTCGTTTAATTTTTTTTCATTTCTTCTTCTGAATGATTTTTCATCTTTATCGCCCTCGGGTGGATAAGATGCTTATTTTCCCCAATACAGAATTAAACGATTCAACGGAAAAATAAATTAAAAAAAAAAATTAATAAATAGATAGAAATCTTTTGCCTCAGGTGAGTTCCCACTTCGGAGTCAGATTTGTCGAATCTTTTTCCTGGGTTATTATCAGTTTCTTAAACCTATTTTACACCTGCACTTACATACAGAGTTTCATATTTAGACGTTGTTCCTATATGCACATCAGATTTACGTATATTTAAACAAGTATTCTCTTTATCAAGTTAAAAAATTTAACAGTTATTCTGACACACACACACACAAACACACACACACACAAACACACACACACACACAATATATATATATATATATATATATAAATATATATATATATGAATAAAATATCTCTTAAGGTGCAACTATATTTATGGGATAAAGTGCTCAATATCAGAGATAGAGCGTGTGTAAATATATTTATGAACACAAGTCAACACTTAGAGGCGACATGTTGTTTCATGGTACACGATTGCGTTTAGCAATGAAACAGCCTGTTGACTATGAAAGTGTGAGTAAAAACCTGTATTTCCTATATAAATATATATATATATATATATATATATATATATATAATATATATATATATTATATATCCATTGCTTATACGGAATGAATTCAACAACCAACAAATTACTATTCTTAAAAAGATTGCTCAAACAAAGTGATTTTTATTTTTATTTTTTTTGTAGTGATTTTAACATATTTATTATATAAACTTTTTTTTTATAAAAATAATATATATATATATATATATATATATATATATATATATATATATATATATATATATAGTTATACATATTTTAAATTAGAACATGTAAGTATCTACTACAAAATTGTATATTTCGTTTCAAATAAAACGTCACTTCAGGTGGTTAACAATGATGGTAATAAACAAACTTATTTAAAATTTGCAATTAACGAAACATCACTTCATAATACTTACATATTCTAATGTAACAATGTATAATAAATATTTATTGCTCTACTCTTGTACTGACCCCTGTTTTATATGAATGTTTTGATAGTTGGAATTTTATTGTTCGTTCTTTTACATTTGGATATATATATATATATATATATATATATATATATATATTATGTGTGTGTGTGTGTGTGTGTGTGTGTGTGTGTGTGTGTGTGTGTGCAGATATATGGCGTGCACATACACACGCATAGAAACACATACATACACACACACAAAGAAGAAAAACTCAATCTAATTCGATTAAAAAGTGCATAAATTATTATTGACTTAAGAAAAAAATAACGGAAATGAAGAAATTGACGGTTAATTGCTGATATCTCCTGACGAGTAGACCGAACGATTACAAAAAGTTCCGTCAACGAAATTCCGAACATCAATCAGCTAAATGTCGAACTTTATATTTCTCTTAATCTTATATATCAATGAATACATAAAGCTTGATACAGATTTTGATTTTCGGCAGCATGTTTCTTTAATACATCTCGATCGATTAATCGTCGTCCAAAGAGCTGTGGGTGATATACCCATCGGCGTAGGGTTCAAATTCAGAAAAATCCACGGCGCCATGCCGTGTTCAAGAGTTCGAACCATTGTACTAAGCACGAGGAGTCCATTATTCTCTGTCGCAACGCGTTGGGGTGGGAAGCAGTTTCCTTCTGAGAGACGACATGCTTGGTGGATTTGTTTTTTTGTTTTTTTTAAAGTTACTTCCTTCCAGCCTTTGACTAGAAAAAGGCAGGACCTACAAGTATGGACCAGGCTGATTTTAAATTCAATGTTTGTCCTTCTCCTAGACTAGTTGCTATCCAAGGCTATAGAGCGCTGGGAGTATGGGGGGGGGAAAGAGATGGATTCATACTTTCCCAAGGGTATTAGCAAGTGAATGTAAATAACTTAACTGAAATTCGAACATGGCTCTCCGATTTCTCAATCCGAACCCCGTCGAGAGTTTAAAATTTGCTGAAAATTAGACATATTGAATACGGTCAGTACATTTTGACCGTGTTCATAACTGATGTTATTAAAGATTGTTTTCCTTTTTATATAATAAGCGCTTCCATTTATTTCTTTAAACGATTTTTACAGTTGGCAGTGCGTATCACATATATTAGGAGAAGATTTCAAAAGTACTTGACACGATCCATTTCAGGAAATCTGAGAAAATGACCAAACCTTACTTTTTATTTTCATTTCCTTTCTCTTTACTTTTTTAAATAATTTCTCGGTCAGGCTGAGAACTTTTCGTAATATAGTATTATATATTGCAAAAGAATAAAACCCTAACAAAACTAATAACAACCAAATAATATTCCCAAATTCCCAAAGTGTAACATTTATTGCTTAAAGGCTTTAGGGGTTTAGTATTGTTTCAACACCACCACCCCCACATTTTACCCCCTATATTTTTTCACCGCCTGTCTCGGTGTTTTTACTGCTGTTTTGAATTAATTAATGAAGAGCGGGGCTTAATCTCAAGTATTTATCAGAAGCGAGCTGAGTATCTGGTGAAGTATCCAACATTTATCAAGATTCTCACACCAGTTAAGTGAAAAGGAAAAAAAAAAAGAAAAAGAAAGGTATTCCCCCCCCACAAGAAAAAATGTTGTGAAAGAAAGGAAAGAGAAAAAAAGGTGAAGGTAAAAATAAATGCCAAAATAACGTAAAAGTAGATAGAAAAAAAAATTAAAAAGAAACGATTTAATTTGAGAAAACTGGGTATGGTGTGAACAAAAAAAGAAAGAAAGAAAAGAACTAAATAAAGAAAGAAAGAAAGAAAGAAAGAAAGAAAGAAGGAAAAAAGAAACTAAAGATAACAAGGAACGAACAAAAACAAAAAAAAGATCGATCTGAATTTAAGTAGATATATAAAATTAATATATTTATACAATTGCGAGAAAAAACACAGTGGTCAAAAGAAATTCAAAGAAACATATTTTTTAAATATAAAGAAAGAACTTAAAAAAAGAAAAAAGAAAGAAGGAACGAACGAACGAACGAACGCAAAAAGAAAAAAACCAACAGAACGAAAAAAAAAAAAGAAAGAAACAGCAAAAGCAGGAACGGACAAACGAAAAAAAATGAATGATAAGGTAAAGTAGAAAAAATCAAAGAACATAGAATTGCTAGAAAACAGGCTAGGCTAAAAAACAAAAAGAAAATAAATTAAAGAAAGAAAGAAAGAAAGAAAAAGAAAGAACCAACGAACGAAAGAAAAAAAATCAAAAAAAGAACGATTGAACAAAAAGACAAATATTCCCAAAGATGAAAAGAAAGAAAACAAAGATTTAAAGAAAAGAAAGATCGAAAGAATTTAATCGAACGAACAAAAGAACGAAAACGAACGAAAAAAAAAAGAAAAGAAAAATGTTAAGATTTAAAGAAAGAAAGAAAGATAACAAAAACGGACAAACGGAAAAAAAAAAAAATTTTTCGATAATGTAAAATAGTGATAAAAATTAAATGAACGATAGAATTGCTAGAAAACAGAGTAGGCGGAAAGAAAGAAATATAGAAAGAAAGAACGAACTAAATAAAATGAAAGAAAGAAAAAAAAATAATGAAAGAAAAAGAAAAGAAAGAAATATTTAAAGAATATGGAATAATAAACCAGAAAAAAAACGATTTTTAATAGTAGATAGAAAAATTTAAAAAAAACGATAGAATCTCAAGAAAATTGATTTAAGGTTTAAAAAAAAAAGAAAGATAAAACGAACAAACGATCGAACGAACATGAAAGAGAAAAGAAATATAAAAAAGAAATAGAAGAAAAAAAGAAAGAATGAAATAAATTGTTCGGGAAGGAAAAAACGAAGAAAAAACTAGAAAAAGACTGGAAAAAAAAAAAAATTAAATAAAAAAAAGGAAAGGAATAAATAATTTATCGATGAATGAATTTTTTTGATGCCTGAATAAAGAAAAAAAATTATGTTTAAAAGAATCATCAAAAAAAAAAAAAAAAAAAAATTGCGTGCCAAAGGATTGAAATAATAAAAAAAAAAAAAGAAAAAATAGGAAGAACAAAAAATAAAAGTTAAATTAAAATTTATAAGACAAATTTGAAGAAAAAAAAATAAAAAAGAAAAAAAAAAGAAAAGAAAAAGAAGGAAAAAAAAAATTGAATTGAAAAGAAATAAAATACGAAAAAATAAATTTAAAACACAGAATAAAGAGAATGAAAATGAGAGAAAAAGAGAAAGATATTAGAAATTAGAGAAAGAAATTAAAAATAGAGAGTGAGAAGAAATAAGAAAAAAATAAATGAAAATAAAAGGAGAGAACAAAGGAGAAGAATTGAATAAAAATGGATGACTAAAGAAAGAAAAAAGAAAAAAGGTGTATGAATAAGAATTGAAATACAAGAGGCAAGAAGGAATGAAATAATTGAGAATGCGAATAATGAAAACAAAAAGAAAACGATGACAAAAAAAGAACAAGAATAATTGAAAAAAAGAAACAAACAAAAAAGCGGAAAAATTAAGTGAATGGAAAAAAAGAAAAATGAAAGAGAAAAAGTAAGAATAAAAAAATAATTAAAAAAGAAAATGAACGAAGAAATAGAGAAAAGAAAAAACACCTTAAAAGCAACTATATCAAATAGAAAATAAAGATAACAATAAATAAATAAAAGATTATTAAATGAGAATAGGATAAATTTAAATGTATATATATATATATTTAAATTATGTAAACAATATGTAATTATGTTGAACATTATCAAAAAAAGGGATTTTAAAAATACCATCAAATAAATTCATAAATATTTAAACAATATTTTTTAAGAATTTAAGAAATAAAAATCGTTGAAAAATGTATATCGCCATTAAGGCAAATGAATGACAAAGTAGAAAATTGAAACAAATCATTTTTAGGAGTTTATCAGACTAAATTTAAAAGCTTTTATTTTTGGCATTACATATATTGAGAAAGAATATAATATATATATATATATATATATATATATATATATATATATATATATATATATATATATATATATATATTTGAAACATTTTGAATAGGAACCTCAATTTCGATCT